TAGTATTCCATGGTGTAAATGTCCCACAGCTTTTTTATCCACTCATCTACTGATGGGCACTTGGGCTGTTTCCAGATCTTAGCTATTGTAAATTGTGCTGCTATGAACATAGGGGTGCATATATTCTTTGTGATTAGTGTTTCAGGATTCTTAGGATATATTCCTAGAAGTGGGATCACTGGGTCAAAAGGCAGTTCCATTTTTAATTTTTTTTTTAATGTATCTTTGTTGATTTCAGAGAGAGGAAGGGAGAGGGAGAGAGAGATAGAAACATCAATGAGAGAGTCATCATTGATCAGCTGCCTTCCACACACCCCCAACTGGGGATCGAGCCTGCAACCTGGGCATATGCCCTGACCAGGAATCGAAGCTCAATCTCCTAGATTCTAGGCCGACACTCAATTGCTGAGCCACGCCCGACCAGGCCCATTTTTAATTTATTGAGGAACCTCCATACTGCTTTCCATAGTGGCTGCACCAGTCTGCATTCCCACCAGCAGTGTACAGGGTTCCCCTTTCTCCACATCCTGGCCAGCACGTGTCGTTTGTTGATTTGTTGATGGCAGCCATTCTGACAGCTGTGAAGTGATACCTCATTGTGATTTTAATTTGCATCTCTTTGATGATTAGCGATGTTGAGTATTTTTTCATATGTGTATCAGCCATCTGTATGTCTTCTTTGGAAAAGTGTCTACTCAGGTCCTTTGCCCAACACATTTTTAAAGTTAAGCTTTTGAACTTATTCACAAGTCCAAATATGGTGGTGAATTTTTCAATTTATATAACATTTTGCTTGGAAAAGGCAGGATATTGAAGAAAATAACATACAATTCACAATGATAAAGTAGCTGGATATCAGCATAAGAGGAGTGGGGAATACCTTCAAACTAAGCATACGGTGAGCTAAGTTGATTGGCCCCTTTCCTCTCACCAGAAAATAAAGGCCAAGAGTTTACATGGGGAAAATCCTGATACTTTTTTTTTTATGTTGACGCTTTGTAATTTTCCAAATGAATGGTTAAAAAAACATGAGATGACCCTGAAATAGCTCCTACCATTAGCTAAAGTACTCATATTCCCTTTTTCCCATTCAAGAGTCAGATGACATTTCCTAAGAAATGACTTCCCAGAATATTTATTTGGAGTTGTGTTCCCTTATTAGTGTCCTGAAATTAGCGTGCAGCCCTTCCAGGGTAACGGATCCCACCTGTTCAGACACCACACGTTGCTGGCCACACCTGTGTCTCACTGACCTGCCCCCACCTCATTCCCCACAAGACTTTCTGAGCAACCAACCTCATGCCTATAGCAGGGATATTGCAGCGCTGCTGGGCGGTAGGGCCTTTGCCCACTGCTCAAGGTGGGACGAAGTCGAGCTGGAGATAATCATTGTCGGTGTTTCCCTTCCTTATGTACTTGGCCATTTTGAGAAAGAAAACAATTAAATGCTCAAGCTCTTATTAGTTTTACCATAAATTTAGAGCTTCAGTTTTGAGCGTAATGAAAAGTGGATGAATGTACTAACTTTCCTGACCTGGGACATCAGGAGAGCCCTGCTTGGTGGACACTATCAGCCTTGAGCCTGACTTTGGGGGACGGGGAGACTTCCCCCTGTGCTATGTGAAGACTGGGACCTGGGCACTTACTGCTGCACCACACATTTCTTCTGTCTTATTATGGGTCCCTCAAAATGTTTTTGTTCCTTGGATTAAAATATTTTTTTATTGATTTTTAGAGAGAGAGGAAGGAAGAGAGAAAGAGAGAGAAACATCGATCGGTTGCCTCCCATACCCACCCCCGACTGGGGAACAAACCCACAGCCTAGGTATATGCCCTGAGGGGGAATCAAACTGGTGACCTTTTGGTGCACAGGACAAAGCTGCAACCAACTGAGCCACATGGGCCAGGACTGACTACTACTTTTATTTATTTATTTTTATTTATTTTATTTTTTATATTCTCCCTGGAGGATATTTTTTCCATTGCTTTTCAGAGGGAGTGGAAAGGAAAGAGAGAGAGAGAGAGAAACATCGATGTGAGAGAGACACATTGATTGGTTACCTCCTGCACCTGCCCCGACCAGGGCTGAGTATCGAGCCTGCAACCGAGGTATGTGCCCTTGGCCGGAATCGAACCCAGGACCCTTCAGTCCACGGGCTGACACTCTAACCGCTGAGCCTGACTACTTCTTTTAAACTTAAATGGTCTAAAGATTTTATGTAGTATTTACTTATGGACAAAAATAAATTTATTTGGGATGTGTTCTTTGAAAAAAGATGAAATGATATTTTAATATTTTGTACAACCAGATGTTGTAAGCACTTCGTATAACATACACATGAAAAATTTTGGTCTTGGTCTTCTAGGGAACTGGAAGTAAAATCTGATTTTTCCCCTCATTATATGTGCACTGCCTCTCATCCACCTAGATTGCTTTTCACTAACATGAACTGATTTTTAACTTCTGCCATTTGGCCTTTCAGTCTGGTTTCTGGTTTCTAGAACAGGCAAGAGATGTTTAGTTAAAGAAAAAGAAATCTTCCTCTACCTGCTTTTATAGCTTCCTAATACATAGCTATATCTTCCCAGTATCTCCTTCTACCCCCAACTATTCCCCTCCTCCATTCCCCTCCCCACTCCTTCCTCCTCCTGCCTTCCTGTTCTTCTTTTGAGCTAAAATTTTATGTTCAGTGTCATAAAAGCGTTGACTGTGAGAATAGATGGTCCATTGTAAGCGTGTTCTCGTTGCTGCCCCGTGGAATGCCAGTTACTCCCAACTCACCGAGAGGTGGAGTTCCAAAATTCCTTTATTCATTATTGGGAATATATTTTCCCGTAGAAACAACATTGTTAATGGTGACAAAGTGCTCAGCCTGACTGCCAGACCCAGTTTGCTCCAGAATATGAGTTATCTCTCTAGTGGTCCTGGCCTGAGCTCAGTCCCTGGGGCTGGGCTAAGTAGTACAGGTCAGGAGGTGACAGGGTGAGTATGAACAACCTGCCTCATGCATCACATCCCCTCCCTCCAAGCATCCTCTCCTCAGCTCCCCGGAACCTTCATGAGCCCCAACCAGCAGCCTTAGGATCCCCCTTCCTGAGTGCAGCTGAGGTGAGCACTCGCCGGTAATGGTGCTTGTGTTTCCAGTGGAAGCTGAGTGGCAGAGGCGGGCTGCCGAGGAAGGAGCGTGTAGGTGGGTGTACTTCACTGAAAATGTTCTAGCCCGTGGGTGATGATCTCGCGGGTATTTATTATACTGCTATATGTGATAACTCACACTTGTCACATAAGCACTCTTAAATGGCTCAGATATTTATTACAAAAATTGTGATTTAACAAGAAGCAGAGAGAAATGAATGTGGCCAGGACCAGAATGTCATGGGAAAGGCAGACATATAGCAAAATGTGAGCGGGGGCAGGAGCCTGCAATAATGCGAACATTAAAATTCTTTAATTAAAAAAAAAAAAAAAGCGAACACGCAGATCCAAAAAGCCAGTGTTCCCAACTATTTCCAATGTGAAAATTGCCTTTTAGTATCAAAAAATTGTGTAGACCACTTTATATAATAATAGATCTTTTAGTTTTCATTGACTGGGAAAATACATATTGAAACAAAGGTAAATGCTTATAGATATGGATTATAACATCTACATATGTTTGAAAAACAATAAATGTGTAGATGAAATCTTATTTTTTTCTGTGTACATTAAAAGTGTTTAAAAATAAGATTAGAAACCAAGTTAAGAAAGTGGACATTTGGGAGAAAATGTGTTCTCACTGAAGGTGGCCTGATGGCAGCCTGTGTGAGTCAGCTCTCAGAGGCAGTTCTTCTGTACTTGATTTTCTATATCTTCTTCCCTTTCTTTGTTTCAAAACTAGGGTGAGCCTGGTTTTGTTTTGTTTTTAAGATAAAACAAAACAGTCTTCCCATGACTGCTTTACTTGAAATCCCAGTGAGGGCTGGTGCAATGGAGTTTTGGGGTTTGTTTTTATTAGTAGTACTATTGTTGGGGCGGGTATTATAAACCAAGTATTTCTAAATAAGCACAGCCCATTCATATAGTATGGGTCCTGCACTGAGTTGACCAGAAAGCCATATTTAAAAACAGTAGAAGAAATCCAAGGAGAGGGTAAATCTTTACCTTAGTAGTTCATTTTCATTCTGTTTAAGAATTATCCATCACTGTCTTAAGATTGGCTATCCTTCAGCCTTCACATGATGCCCATGATTATCCACCATGGAAATGCCACAAACTGAGGGGGGAGCAGCTTACAGGGCCTCAACAGTTTGAACCCAGGATTACTCCTTCCACAGAGTTTCTCTAGGTCTCTCTCTCAATATATCTAATGACCATTCTGTTTTGGAAATGTGTATTTGCTTTAATGTTCTAAATTGTATTTTGACTTAAAAAAAAAGTAACGCAAAAAGCTTTTCTCTGAGCTGCGTTAGGGATGTGTGTGTGTGTGTATTTTTCATTAAGACCTTTATTAACAGGTCCTTGCAGTTTGTTGACTTTTTTGAAAAAGTAAAGTTGTAAACTTTTGTGATTTTTTTTTAATGAGTTAAAAAATGAATTAGAGATTCTATTTATTCTGCTCTCTTCTGTTTTGGTTCCTAAGTTTAACTTGTCATTTTCTCTTTTAAGCCAAAGTGCTACACCAACTTTATGGGATTCCTTAGAAGAACCTCATATTCGGGACACTAGTGAATTTGAGTATTTATTTTCCAAAGACACAACTCAGCAGAAGAAAAAACCACTGTCAGAGACCTATGAGAAAAAAAACAAGGTCAAAAAGGTACTGTGATTGTAATAGTCATTGTAATTTTATATATATATTTTTTATTTTTTTTGTCCTACACAGGAATTCATTATGTGCTGCTAGTTTGCTTTCCCTGTTCAAAAAATGTTTTGGAGGTTTCAAGTCACAGATGACAAAAAGGAGCCAATAGTTTGAGAATGTGTGCTTGCTATTTTGGTCATAGCGTCTGAACTTTCAAACTCTTTTCTTAATTTAATCTGGACCTTCTTTTAGCCATTAATTCTATTGAAAAAATATGGCTATTTAATTAATCAAATTAGATTAAATGAACAATTCAGTCCTTCAGTGGCACTAGCCACTTTTCAGTTCTGTTCTGTGGCTAGTGGCTACCGTACAGCACAGATATAAAACATTTCTATCATTACAAAAAGTTCTATCGGCTAGCACTGTCCAAGCATCTGGGATATGTTGGTGGAAAAAACCTCCAAAGAGTCTTGCCTTGTGGAGCTTATATTAACAGTCAATATTAAAAAAAAAATTAAATCATGTAATCGTGATTTAAGGAGGGTGGACTTTGGCGTGGTGGTGGTGATGGGGCCACGGTTTAAACAGTGTTTGGCTGTGCCCCCGTTGAGAAAGGTGACTGCTGAGCAAAGACTGGAGGGCTGGAAATCTCAGGCTCCCAGACATCCCATCAGAGAAAAAGTGTAAGATTCTCAGGCATCAGAGAGATGTGAAGTGGAATCACAGCTGGGCTGAGCACTGGCTATGTGCCCTAAGTCAAAGCTCTTCCACCTGTGCCTCGGCCCCCTAACCATGACATGAGATGACATCTGCTTGTATTATTATTCTAATTGTTAAATGAGAATATATATAATACCATGCTCAGCCTTGTTCCTGGCACACTGTCGGCCCTCAGCTAATGATGGCTACTCTCGCTTTGCCACCGTCCCTGCCACTGCTGTTACCTCTCTGCATAAGTGGGATTTTTTGTCTGTTTGTTTGCATCAGTGTTTTGATAATAGCCTGGATGATGTTGAGGGAAAAGTAAAGTACTTGGTTCTGCTATTGATTTGCCACGTTGAGTTTGGGTAGTTTGTCTTTCTTCTCTAGATCCCATTTTTTTCCCTTTTCTATAAAAGGAGATGAACCATATCTGAGTCTACCTGACCCACCACGATGTTGTGCAATTTAAATCTAAGGAGGGCTTGAGGATCTGTTTTGAAAAGTGTATAATATTAAATGATGTTATCATCAACTCTTCATTCTTAAATTACACAGTTGGGTTCGTCCACTGGTCCATACCTCAGGTGACGCTGTGATTATGAAATCAGCTGTGCCTTACAGGGAAAAAATGGCAAGAGTCTGAATGCAGCTTTCTGTTAATGAAATCAGATTTTTCCCACTGAGTTGAATTATGAATGAAAATCATAATCAAAGTTTTTCACCTCTTAAGTTCATTAGGATTGTCTTTTCATGAGAAAAATGTGATCCCAACAGTAATTAAATTTCACAACAAATCTTTTAAGAAGACACATTGCAGCCCCGGCCAGTGTGGCTCAGTTGGTTGGAGCACCGTCCTATACACCAGAGGGTGGTGGGTTCGTGTCCCAGTCAGGGCACATGCCTGGGTTGTGGGTTTGACCCCAGGTCAAGGCACATGGGAAGGGGGGCGGATCTCACCTCGATGTTTCTCTCTCTCTTTCTCTCCCCGCCCCCCCAATCAATTTAAAAAGAAAAAAAAAGAAAAGAAAGAAATACTGCATGGAAAATTTTGAATTATTTTACTAAAACAATTATTTCCAGGCAAGAATTGAGCTGATATATACTGTCAGATGTAGTCCCGTGCAGTTAGATTCGTACGAGATGGAAACAAGTGTGCTGTGTAGGCCGGCTGGCTTTTCACACGGCTCCTGCAGAAACAGAAGACTAGTTTCTATACAAAAGGCAAAAGAAGAACCTCTGTATTCCAAAAGTTTACCTCAGTTTGTCACTTCCAGGAAGCTTCTCTGACTAACCAGGGGCTCTGCTAGATGCATGCTTCCTCACTATCATCTTAAACTTAGTTTCATTCTCTATTTCTTCCCAGATGGCTATTGCTTCTTTTGTTTCTCTCTTTGCATGCTTGGAAACAGGTTGTTTACTTATAAAACTAATTATTTCTGTTTTGGTGAGTATTTTTAAAACATCAAAGCATTTGGTGGTTTGTTCACATTTCTTATCTCGAACTTGTTTGCCTGTTCAACAAAGGATTTTCACCAAGGCTCTGAGAACTTGACGTGTTTATTTTGTTTCACTGTTTGAGGAGGAACATACCCTTCATTTGAGCTCTTTAATCTTTCTGAACAGTGAGGTTGCTGTTACCTCATATAATCTGCTCATGTGTATATAGTCTCCACTTTTTTCTTTAAGTAGAACCCAGAATGTGGGTCTACCGGGCTTGATGGTCTTGAGGCCTCTTAGGGTTTTAGTGAGCTTTGTGGCCTACTTCGGAGCTGAGATTTTAAGTTTTAAAGAACAGAACAAGCTGAATCAATGCCAGAAGACTCTAAACCTGCCTCCTATAAGCCTCCCTTCCATGCCCGTGGTCAGATTTCCAGCATCAAGTTGGATTTCTTGGTCTCTTCTGAGAGTCCGATGTTTGTTTTCTTTTCTCTTAAAATGAAAGTGAATTTTGGAGGTTGCGAGCAGCCGAGAAGTTTCAGCATTGGAGGCCAACTTCATCAGCTTAAGCAAAGAATGGTTCCCATACAAGAAGACCAGGAGGACACTTGCCAAATGGGTCTTTTCTAAGGACTGATGTGGAGTGTATGTTGGAGATTAAAATAGCCAGCGTTCTGAATCCTGGCTGTGGGCTTAGCTGGCACTGAGACATACATGTGAACATCTCTTAAATGGATCTGGTCTTCATCTCTCTCCGCAGACGACATTCCTGGTTCAGAAGTAACTCTCAAGATTCTGCTGAACTCAAGATTCTAGTTTCTAGTTTCATCTTCTGTACTAGCATTTGTAGTTCCCATCAGTGGGTAAACAGATACACATATTCTTAAACTGGGCATGTATCCTGTTCTATAATATCATAGGGTTAGAAGAAGCCTTCCCAATCCTCATTCAGTACCCTTATCTGGCATGTGAGAAACTGGGATCTAGAAAGATGAAATGACTTCTAGGGTTTGCACACTTTTAACTGGGGAGATATTGATAATGATGAACACTTGAGAGGATGGCCAAGAGCCTCAGCATGTTCTCATCGCCCCTTTATTTACACAGTAATTGGCCACACTGATGATGGTGACAACATTTATTGGATGATTGATTTGATGTTTATAAATGAGAATAGCCATTATTAAAATCATCAAAAGTATAGCCACACTTGTGCAAATTCAAAGTATTTCCTACATTGTAAAATTTATCCAGTTCTCTTTAGAGTCTTCCAGTAGGACGCCAAATTTTTGAATAAAAAGATGTTTTACGTTTAACTCCAACAACAAAATATGTAGATTTGGAGCTGTTTCCCTTTGACTCTACCAATATTTTCAATATTAGCTATAAATAAACACTATGGCTAATTTGTATTGGATACTCAGGCATGTGCCAACCTCATTTGTGACACCAGTCCACTCTGGCACTGCAAACACAGCCATCACCAAATTGAGAGCCAGGGTTCAAAATGTCAGCCCTTGTTGGCACCACCAACTCTTAGTGCTGCCTCCTATTTACTTCTCTGTGATAACCTTCAGAGCAAGTATTTAACTTCACACACTGCTTCCCTGTCTATGAAATAAGGAATTTACAGTGTTGTTATGAGGGTAAAGTGAAATCATGGTTAATGTATTAGTTTTAGTCTATGAACTAACAGGAAAGCTCTGCAAAGAAATTTTTGAACGTCACCAATTCCCACAAAGTTGTTGAAGGTCTTAAAACATTACCCTGTCCATTCTTGGAACTATTTGCAAATGGTCATCTCTACACCGTTTCTGTTTTTTAATATTTATAGAATTTCACAACTCTCTAATGACACATGCAGACATCAAGTAGTTCATCTTACATTGGTTTATATAGTATTGTCGCATTGTAAAATAAGAGTTTCCACTGCCAATATGCCCAGATTTATACTGCCTCTCAGTTACATTTGTTCCTGGGAAAGATAGGTCAGCACCTTGACAGGAAGCCAGAAATCTGCCTTCATTGTCTGAGATTCTTTCTCCTGGTGCCTGTCAAGGAAGTAGCCACTCTGATAAACTTCCAGTTGCTTTTTAAACTTGCCCAACAACTTTCAGAAAATCAGCATGACCTGCCAATATTCTTCTGCTCTTGAAATGTCACCATCTCACTTTGAATTCTATTCTGTGTGCCGTTCCCTCCTCTGTAAGATATGTAAAAATCATTCTCTCCCTCCGCATTTTTGATAGATATTTCTTAAGAATAATGAAATAATGGCTTTTCCCTGAGCTCTTGGGGGTGGGGGTGCAAGTCGGGTGGGGAGGGGTGGCGATGGCTCAGCAGACAAAAGTCTATTGAAACATCCTGGAGCCAAAAGCCGTCAGTTGTAATTTGGTCACTTTGGCGAGGATTGTAGCTGTAATTCTCAAATCCCAGACTTGGTGTCTCAGTTGAGTGGGGAGAGGAGAAGGTGGAAGGAGAACATTGTTTGGAAGCCTGAACATAAATTTATAGGGTTTCATAACCTGTTGCCTTCCAAGTTTATATAATTTCAGCTTTTGTGTACAGAGATAATTTGTCCAGCTGCCTCGGTAAGGTTTGTGCATTACCCTGCCCCCCGCCCCCCCGGAATGGGGATGAGTTTGCAACCCCCTTTTTATTTCTCATGTGTTTGAAAAATGAGCAGTGAAGTTAGGGGCTATCATCTCTAGAAATGAGTGAAATAACTTGCCCGTGTGTTGACTGCATCAGTATATGACCTTGAGGTCATTAGGGCTATGCCCAGAGTCCTTGAGTGACAGCTAGAATGATCAGGGCTTTTCTGCTCTTCAGCTCAAAGGCCCCTCACTGGCTAAATCTACCAAAAGCAAACG